CATTGTAACTCCACGAGGTCAGATCTTGCATGGAACCCCAGGCTGAGGGAGATTGACAGTTCTTTTGTGTTTCTTCCATTTGCGAATAATCGCACCAACTGTTGTCACCTTCTCACCAAGCTGTTTGGCGATGGTCTTGTAGCCCATTCCAGCCTTGTGTAGGTCTACAATCTTGTCCCTGACATTCTTGGAGAGCTCTTTGGTCTTGGCCATGGTGGAGAGTTTGGAATCTGATTGATTGATTGCTTCTGTGAACAGGTGTCTTTTATACAGGTAACAAGCTGAGACTAGGAGCACTCCTAATAGGGGTTTTCCCCTTTTTTCTGGCAACAAAACTGACACCTTTTGCAAGGACTCATGCTTACATTAACCACAATACCTGCAGTCAAATGCAAACAAAAAACAATACTCTGATAATTTATGCATTGTCTTTGAAACTGATTGGTCCACACCAGAGACAGCTTTCTTTGGAGCCTAGTCTCATATGGTGTTCGACCAGATGACGCCAAAAGGCGCACAGTTCAAAGACAACGCAATACCAGAGTAATGAGAGCTCGGGGTGAGCAGCTACATCATGGGATCTCCTTTGCCAGTACCAAAATATACTAATAGGGTTTTTCCCCTGTTTTTCTGGCAACAAAACTGACACCTTTTGCAAGGAATCATGCTTACATTAACCACAATACCTGCAGTCAAATGCAAACAAAAAACAATACTACAATACTCTGATAAATTATCAGAGTATTGTTTTTTGTTTGCATTTGACTGCAGGTATTGTGGTTAATGTAAGCATGATTCCTTGCAAAAGGTGTCAGTTTTGTTGCCAGAAAAAAAGGGGAAAACCCCTATTAGTATATTTTGGTACTGGCAAAGGAGATCCCATGATGTAGCTGCTCACCCCGAGCTCTCATTACTCTGGTATTGCATTGTCTTTGAACTGTGCGCCTTTTGGCGTCATCTGGTCGAAAACCATATGAGACTAGGCTCCAAAGAAAGCTGTCTCTGGTGTGGACCAATCCGTTTCAAAGACAATGCATAAATTATCAGAGTATTGTTTTTGTTTGTTTGCATTTGACTGCAGGTATTGTGGTTAATGTAAGCATGATTCCTTGCAAAAGGTGTCAGTTTTGTTGCCAGAAAAAAGGGGAAAACCCCTATTAGTATATTTTGGTACTGGCAAAGGAGATCCCATGATGTAGGAGCATTCCCTTTAAGAGTGTGCTCGTAATCTCAGCTCGTTATCTGTATAAAAGACACCTGGGAGCCAGAAATCTTTCTGATTGAGAGGGGGTCAAATACTTATTTCCCTCATTAATATGCAAATCAATTTATAAAATTTTTGACATGCGTTTTGCTGGATTTTTTTGTTGTTAATCTGTCTGTCACTGTTCAAATAAACCTACCATTAAAATTATAGACTGATCATTTCTTTGTCAGTGGGCAAACGTACAAAATCAGCAGGGGATCAAATACTTGTTTCCCTCACTGTAGGTGTGTAAAAGGGCTGCAAATATACATAACATATATAACCTTGCTTTAAATTAACACAATGCTGATACAGGAAAATGATGAAAATGTATTAGTCAATACTCGCATCTGCCGCCCTACTTGCACTCAGGCTCAGTTGGCACGGTCCAGTTGGTACAGGCATCTAGTGGTAGAGGCTACTCCTGCAAAGAAAATGGAATATTTCTACAAAGTAAATCACTAATCTGTCCCAACCTCTCCACATCACCCCAAGGAAATAACTAGCGATGGGCTATCTGATCATTCTTTAAGCGAACTATTACGCTACCAATTACAGCTTCGATTACTCCAATTGTATAACATTATTGAACAAACAGGTCTTCTGTCTGTTCCCACATGTGCCGCTGGACGGAAGGTGATAGGCAGGGCCTGACCATTAAGTGTGCGTATTGTATGGGGTTGTCCACTGTCGCGAGGCAACATTCGGGGCTACGCAATATTAAAGAGGTCCGAATTATTGATCATTAAAAGAAAGTTAAATGCAATTTGAGTTATTTATTTCGATTAGTAGACTTATCGCAAAAGCACAAGAAGTAAGTCGTGAATGAATCCCAAGGTTTCTGGCCCATGTAAAGCAATGAGGCATGGGTCAGAGCCATTCCCTGTGCACTCGTGGGGTGGCAGGGATCTCTTCTCGGGATCCCACATTGAAGGATTTGTGACGCCACGGTTCCAGAAGTATTTCATGGCTATACCAAATGGAAGCACAATAGGTGTGTAATGTGAGGATATATCCGGCTCAATAACGTATCACAACTCGTCATGATGATTGGCTCTACCGGTCCTGGTTTATAGCCAATGGGGGGAAGCCTAGGGGCGTGGCCCTGACGTAATGGTTAGGTGACAGCTGTAAGTAGGGATTGGTTCTGCTGGCTTTGGCCACAGCCAATGGGGAGATGAGTCAGGGGCGTGGTCCCGGCAGCTTACGAGGGGGTCTGGAATATTCCATGGAGGCTAACCAGGATTGGTGGAAACGTACCACGTGACCTGGGTATTAAATAGGGGTGGAGACAAACGTCACGGGGTCAGAACGGGAACGAACAGAGGAAGGGGGCCACGCGGGAGCGGGGCTCCGGGTTGCCACGTTGCAGTGTGTCTCTCTCTCTATCTGTCCCTCTCACGCTGCCTGTCAGCAGCGTGAAGGAAAGCTGTAACACAAGTTGAATAAAAGACGGATTCCAGAAGTCGCCTCAACGAGTTTTATTACAGGTGTACATTCTGCCAACGTTTGATTTTAACTTTTGGCATTTTTTTTTTATTACAGGCGGTCTCCGGTTTACAACTGATCAATTTATAACGAACAAATGCCACTATGTATATATGTTACGACGCAGAAACTTTATTTATAACGCATTATCCGACATGACTCCGAACATATTTGAACAGTCATATGGTTTCCGATGTGACTTGGCGTGCCGCTTTTGTTCTTCTCAAGTGGTTTTGTGGATGTTCTATTAAACCCTGTTAAATGTGGCTGATAAAATGAAAAAACATCAACAAGTGATGTTTCTACTGTCTGTGGATCAGATTTACGAAAATGTGCCCAGGAACACGTCGTAAAAGCGGGGACCGCCTGTACATTGTGCAAATATGGCCATTATTAGAAACTTTGTAGTGTACATCAGAAAATGTATTCCACAAATAATGCCAAATATTTACAACTGTCCTTACATGCGTACTGTTATTACAGCCAGGTCTGCCTTGTAAAACAGACGACCCATGATCTCCCAGATGGTGAAAAATACAGAACTAAAATGAGTACAGCGATTAAAAAATATCCCTGCCTTTTGAACAATTGAAAGCAGAGCAAATCACCACCGCCACAAAACCTTCCATAAGCAATGCGATCCATCTCGCAGGGTGGAGAATACCACAGTCATCATGATTTGCGACTGCTGTCACCTCGGTCAGCATCGTGTGTGGGGGTTTACAGCTTTTGTGCATAAAACGTAATTCCCACCTATTGCTTCCTGATCACCGCATGTTTTATATCCTGCTGCTTACAGCAGTCAAGCCCTACGGCTCCACGTGGTGAGCCCATGTCCATCCTAAGTGTATAGGAGCTTTAGATTTTAATAATACAAAGAAAATCCACTCTGCTCTCAGAGATTGCACCCGGGACTTTTATTATCGAAAGCTCCCCTTCAGCCGCCTCCACTACAGCAATTACAACAGATCAGGGGCTCTGCGGAGCAAGCTGACATGCTTTTTTCCTCCAGCCCACGTGGAAAAGTGTCTGTGCCGGATCCACGCCTCATTTACTATCGCTGGGAAGGTAATGATGATGACGATAATGATGTTGTCATGGCTGGGGAGAGGCTCCAAAAGGGAAGATATATACACGCCCTCTGTGGGCTCTCACGCACATAGCATCATCGAGGCCACAATAACTCCCTGTGCATTTGGCCTTAAGTTAATTTTTGCACAGGTGAAACGCATTTCGAAGGAGACCTGGTTACACCATAGACACCTGATTAAAGCAACAACAAAAACATGAAAACAATTAGAAACTACACGTGGCCAAAGTATTGGGTGAAAAAGAGCGCCGAGGTCAATCACATTGTAAAAAAAAGAAAACGTTATGAGCCCAGACCAAATATTTAGCTTGCCAGTACATTTGTTCAGGTGGCCAACTGACAGTGAATTCTGTTACCCATTTGAAATGAGTGGGTTATCAAGTGTAACATAAATCGGTACTACACCGCATTCCAGCGTCGTGAGCTTAAAGAAACTGAACAGGTGGTCTCTGGTTTACGACGGTCCACATTTACGACGTTAAATGCCAACAGGATCTACTTACGACGCCCTTCCGACACGACTCCGAACGCATCGTTTCCGATGTGAACTTGGCACCGAGTTGTTATTCAAAGTATTTTTTTAATTTTCTGTTTGCACTTAGTCACATTCACTTTAAGATGTTTTTTGTTAATGTTTTTGTATGTTGCGGTTGCACCCGATTCAAGAGCCGAATGGCTCACAGGGCTATACCTAATAAATTAACTTGAACTTTTGGGTGTTTACCTATTAAACCCTGTTGAATATGGCCCATAAAAGTAAAAAAACCACGCATCGGCAAGTGATTTTTCTACGATGGTAATGTAGGGTCATATTTACGACGGCGCGGTTTACAGGAACGCCGTGGTGTCGTAAACGCGGGGACCGCCTATTATACGAATAGAATCGATGTCCCAAAATCGTGACAATGGACTTAGCGATGGAATCGCTAACTCGGGCGCTTGCCTCCTCGTAGACGAGTCAGAATCTTTACATGTTTTATCCCGGAGGAGTCCGATTAACTACGAAGCTCTTGTTAGTGTTGAAGACGTCCCAGCCGGGCTCAACTCGCGATGTGAACCGGATGCGAGGCCGCGCGGCCATCTTGTTAGGGGGCTGTGACGTCACCAATGGTGACGTCACAGCCCCTCCTCCCCAAGCAAGATGGCGGCGCCAACGCCGGCGCGCCGTGACGTCACGGCCTGCTTCGGTCGCCCACGGAGGCGGCGGCGGCAGGAGCGGCCGGAGCGGCCGTTTCGAAGGCGACGGTGGAGAGACCCGCACCCCCCGCGCCGGGCGCCGAGAGAGAATTTCCGAGGGCGACATGATGAGGCCCGATCGCGTCGCTCGTTGCCAGCTCTCGACTCGACATGGGACGCCTTGAGGCGGGACGCGGCGAGCGCTCTGCTGCCGGCAGGTGAGGCTCGCGCGGGCCGGCGCGTGAGTGGGTGAGCAGGCCTCGTGAGTGGGTGAGTGGGTGAGCAGGCCTCGTGAGTGGGTGAGTGGGTGAGCAGGCCTCGTGAGTGGGTGAGTGGGTGAGCAGGCCTCGTGAGTGGGTGAAGTGGGGAGCAGGCCTCGTGAGTGGTGAGTGGGTGAGCAGGCCTCGTGAGTGGGTGAGTGGTGTGAGCAGGCCTCGTGAGTGGGTGAGCAGGCCTCGTGAGTGGGTGAGTGGGTGAGCAGGCCTCGTGAGGGGTGAGTGGGTGAGCAGGCCTCGTGAGTGGGTGAGTGGGTGAGCAGGCCTAGTGAGTGGGTGAAGTGGTGAGCAGGCCTAGTGAGTGGGTGAGTGGGTGAGCAGGCCTCGTGAGTGGGTGAGTGGGTGAGCAGGCCTAGTGAGTGGTTGTGAGTAGGCCTAGTGAGTGGGTGAGCAGGCCTCGTGAGTGGGTGAGTGGGGTGAGCAGGCCTAGTGAGTGGGTGAGTGGCGTGAGCAGGCCTAGTGAGTGGATGAGTGGGTGAGCAGGCCTCGTGAGTGGGTGAGCAGGCCTCGTGAGTGGGTGAGCAGGCCTAGTGAGTGGGTGAGTAGGCCTAGTGAGTGGGTGAGTGGGTGAGCAGGCCTCGTGAGTGGGTGAGCAGGCCTAGTGAGTGGGTGAGTGGGTGAGCAGGCCTAGTGAGTGGATGAGTGGGTGAGCAGGCCTAGTGAGTGGGTGAGTGGGTGAGCAGGCCTCGTGAGTGGGTGAGTGGGTGAGCAGGCCTCGTGAGTGGGTGAGTGGGTGAGCAGGCCTCGTGAGTGGGTGAGCAGGCCTAGTGAGTGGGTGAGTAGGCCTAGTGAGTGGGTGAGTGGGTGAGCAGGCCTCGTGAGTGGGTGAGTGGGTGAGCAGGCCTCGTGAGTGGGTGAGTGGGTGAGCAGGCCTCGTGAGTGGGTGAGTGGGTGAGCAGGCCTAGTGAGTAGGTGAGTGGGTGAGCAGGCCTCGTGAGTGGGTGAGCAGCCCTAGTGAGTGGGTGAGCAGGCCTAGTGAGTGGGTGAGTGGGTGAGCAGGCCTCGTGAGTGGGTGAGTGGGTGAGCAGGCCTCGTGAGTGGGTGAGTGGGTGAGCAGGCCTCGTGAGTGGGTGAGTGGGTGAGCAGGCCTAGTGAGTAGGTGAGTGGGTGAGCAGGCCTCGTGAGTGGGTGAGCAGGCCTCGTGAGTGGGTGAGCAGGCCTAGTGAGTGGGTGAGCAGGCCTAGTGAGTGGGTGAGTGGGTGTAGGCGGGTGGGTGATCGTGTGAGTGAGTGGGGGAGTGTTCACCGAATTAGATTCCCTCGAGTCGTTCGGCGCGGCCGGCGGAATCGCGCATTGCGATTGGCCGAGGCGCTGCAGCCACCGCTCGCGCGCGACCTTAGCCAATGGGAGGCGAGCGAGTGGACTCGAGTGGACCAATGGCGTGCGAGGCGCGCCTATCCGCAGTGGGGAATGTAGCCGCGCCGCTGACAGCTGCTGTCACAGCACCAGCCTTGGCGTCCCAGCAGTGGATAGAACGTGGCCGCGACTCCTGATTACTGTAATTAAAACACGCACTTTGCATTGTTGCCGCAAGAGTTGTCTTGGTGTGATCTGGGACTGTTTTGGTTGTTTTTTGCTGCTTTGTCCAAGCTGGCATTTGGTGTTGAAAAATCGGCAGCAATTGATGTGCTTCTTCAATTTGTACTTATATTCTTGATAGATTTTTTAAAAATGTAATTTGTAGTGACTTGCTTAGCTTTCCTATTCTTTACACTTCTCTCGGCTTGTTTTTTTTGCATTGTAACTTTCTCAGCCAGCCCCTGCTGGGACACCCTGTGCAACAGAGCTTCATAGCTCATCGGATTCGTCCAGTCGAAATCAAGGCTCCGACTGGAGACGCTCCACGGATGAGGAACGGTGCTTGAACCGCGTGGCGCGCACAACTTGTGGCCGTGGGGGGTTTCAGGAATCCCATCGCGATCCGAGTATGGCCACCAAGAAGAAGCCGCGCACTCGATACCGACAGCCCGTGTACTGGTCGGCCGACGAGTCGAGAGCCATCATCGCGATCATATCCGACCTCGGCGTCGTGGCGGAACTGGACAAAAAGAGGCAGCGAAACTTCGCCATCTTCGAGCAGGCAAGCGGAGGGGTGGGGGGGAATGTTTAACAACAACATCAAAATAAAAGTGGCATCTTAAGTTCGGCTTTTGGCTGGCCATCGAACAAAGTCACTGCATCGTTGCGCTTTCAGATGCTCTTCTGCGGCCGTCTGGAACGCTCTTCCGTTATTAGGAAGCCACTGGAGCTATGCACTTTTAAATCATCTAGATTATAACAAATATTTCTAGAACTGTTTTTTTTTTGTTTAGTTTGTCCTTCCCCCGCACCTCCGAATAGCACGGTTAGCTACATATGGTGTGAAAGAAGCTCAACATAAAAACGTACACCTCAGAGTCTCAGGACTTTTTTTCAGGAGGGTCCTGCCAGATTATAGCAGCAGGGGGCGATGCTGCTGCTCTGTGTGTGATCCCACGTGAGTCGCTCGCATGTTAAATTTCAGCATCAGGATGCTTGGCCAATACCGTTAACATTGTACGTTAACGTTAGCTATGGAGGGAACCTGGAGAAATTCCACGCAGAACAGGAGGAGCACGTACAAAACTCCACACAGAGAAGGTGTTGGGAATCAAACCCTGGGCCTTGTTGCTGTGAGGCTCAAGCGTGAACTACTGGCACGTGCCACCCCACTGCCTGCACGAAATACGCCACTCGTGAAGATATCAATTATTTTTAGCGTTCAACGTGCATTACAACCCCTCACGCGGCGGATGATGATGCGTTCTGTGTCATCGTTTTTTTGTTTGTTTTGGGGGCGAGGCCAGGTGCGGCAGCTGCTGTCGGCGCGCGGCATCTACCGCACCATCCCGCAGGTGCGCGAGAAGTGGAAGAAGCTCAAGGAGAAGTTCCTGGCGGCTAAGGCGAGGGCGTTGGGGAGCCCCGAGGGGCTGCCCACGTTCCCCTACATGGCCGAGATGGAGGAGCTGCTGGGCTCACGGAGGGGGCCCTCCGACCCACGGCCCCACGAGCTGCTGCGTCCCTTCTCTCCATTGGCGGCGCGCGGGGACCACAGCTTCCACGACGACGCCGGTAAAGCACGGACTTTTTTTGTGACTCTTTTAACGAGAGTTCACGGTTATGGTGGCTCGGCTACGCAAAGTTGTTCTCCCCTCCCTGAAAGCTTCGTTCGTATATTCGTTCGTATGTTGAGACTTCGTACGTGGGGGTCATCCCTCGATTTTACGAGCGTTCGGTTTTACGGAATTTTGCGTTCACGCAGTCGACAAATTGTGGACACTGAGACCTCCTTTACCAGTGGTAAAATATAGTAGTAGGTTTTTACCCTTTAAACTGGTACAAAACTGACACCTTTATACAAGGCATCATGTTTGCAATAACCACAACACATGTAGTCAAAATGCAAACAAAAAGATTGGTGTGGACCAATCAACTTCAAGGACAGTGCATATTATTATCATCAGAGTTGTTTCTTTTTGTTTGCATTTTGACTACTTGTGTTGTGGTTATTGCAAACATGATGCCTTGTATAAAGGTGTCAGTTTTGTACCAGTTTGAAGGGTATAAACCTACTACTAAATTGTGGACACTTTTCGATGAACGAAATCAGATTTTCCACGTGAACGAAATTTCACTCCGGCCCCACGCACCGTGAGATCATGAAATGAGAAACCACTAGGGAAAGCTGCGTCGTCACCCATCCACGACAGTGTCACGGTGTCCCTGTAGTGGCAGCAGCAATCCAACATGCAGCAGGATCTTTTGGAGAGTTCCCTGAAAAGGATAATAATTTTGTATTTATTTATTATTCAATCGTTTTAATATTTATGCTCTTATTTTTGTATTGTGAAAAGTGATATAGGTGGTGTACATTTTAGGTGAGGAGTATAGTTGGAATGCCTGTCCAAAACATCTCTAATTTTTTGTGTTAAATTGATGAGAAAAGCCATTCCGATTTATAAATGTAATTTTATGCCTGTTTTTTGTTACTTTTCGCCGCTTCTTGCAGAGGTCATTAGTTCAAATCTAACTGGTGACCTTGGTTAATACTGCAGTGTGTGGATTAACCGTAAAATATAATGCTGTTTACTTCACAGTGGAGGTTAACTCTCCTGTGATGTCATTTGAAGTAGAGTAGGCCATTGTGTGCCGGCGAAACGGTACAGATTTTAACAAAATTAACGTGCATCTTACTCAATTGCGATTAGATAGCAACATCATTTCCATATGTAGTGTGAAACTACTGCCTTGGTGATAGCTGTGCTTTATAAGAAGGGTGCAATTACTAAATATACTCTTATTAGTCACAATTTTCATGCATCAATTTATTATTTGTGAATGGATTTATCTCTTTTTCCAGGTAACCCATGCTTCACTGAAATAAGTGAAAATAAATTCCACAGTTTTTTTTGTGCACCTAAGAGCTTGGATTTATAACGAATATGACTCCTGACCTCAAACCCAGGATCTCAGGGATTCCGCTCACTCTTCTGGTGCGTTCCCTATCGTACAAGAAGTTCAACATACATACAGTCCGTTCTTCTATAACGTGTGTTGTTTTCATGACAGAAATTAGATACATAACATGATGAATGTATTAGGGAACGCATATTTTTTTACGCGGATGCGAATTGAATATAACGCGATTGAGTGAACAGAACTACATCGCGCTAGTAGGAATAAGCGGTTGTGCGGCTGTCTCGGCGTAGCATCACACAAGGCATTGGGATGCTGCTGGATGCTTCTAAATGCTACCCACACGCCTCAGTCTTTGGTCAGCCTGCATTACCCACCTCGCGTATTATCGCGGACTGTGCTTTATTATGACGCGATTTTTCCATAACGCGGACTTCTTCAGGAATGTAACTACTTACTACCACCGCATTATAGGAGAACGGACTGTACGTACGTACAAGAAGAAGAGCCGCTTCCACGCACACCCAAAACATCACCGGGCAACCGTCAGTCACTGGACAAGTCGCACCACTCGACAATTGCAAAAAATGAGTGCGAGGCATTAGCGCTCTACGGGCGCTCCCCAACGCATTCCTGAAAACCTATTGTTGTAAATCAGATCGTCATAAACCAGGACCCTGTTTTCCCATTGACAGTGTTCTTCAGGAACGCAACTACCACTGCGTTAAAAGGATAACGGACTGTAACATACATTGTTATCGCTTGTTGAGTCAGGCAACCACCTCATGTTATTCTTTTGATCTTTTATGATTTTTTTTACTTGAGATTTCGGGGTGACTCCGGGCCCGTCGGGGTCACAGTTGGACTGCTCGACGCGCTCGGCCCAGCACCAAGAGTCGTCCTACATCGAGACGGATGAGGAGGAGTCCGAGGATGATTCTGAGGTACGTTGTGCACATTGTAAAAAAATCCACGACTGTACAAGTCTATGTGTGTATGTTCAACTATTTCCCAATGTACTTAGCCAACCGTACTAATCAGAGGTTTGGGGGGGAAGGACAACAAACTATGGGTCTCTATGCGAGTCTATCTATGTGTGAGTATGTATGTATGTACGTTGAACTTCTTTCACACTATACCTAGCCAATTATGCTCAGCGGAGGTTTGGCAGGGAAGGACAAGAAACGATGGGTCTCTATGTGAGTCTATGGGTCTCTGTGTGAGTCTATGTATGTACGTTGAACTTGTTTCGCACCGTACATAGCCAACCGTGCTCATCAGAGGTTCGGGGGAATGGACAACAAACTATGGGTCTCTATGTGAGTCTATGTATGCACGCTGAACTTATTTCGCACCGTACGTAGCCAACCATGCTAATCGGAGGTTCGGGAGGAAGGACAAAAAAGTAAATGCAACAAGCAGTTATATATAAATTAGTTATCACCTGGACACCACGTTGAAAACCAAAAAACATAACTTGCACTCGCAAAAAAGTGGTCCAAAAAGATCTCCAAAATCCTGATTAAACACAAGATCCAGGTCCGATTCAACACAGTACATAAAATCCGTGATCTGGTCCCGTCTGTTAAAGATGTGGTTCCAGACATACAGTACCCTGGCGTCTACAAACTAAGTTGCCTCTGTGGTAGCAGTTACATTGGAGAAACCAAACGACATGTCTCGGACCGCATCCGTGAACATAAGGCAGACCTGAAACACGGTAGGACAAACACCTCAGCCGTGGCAGATCACTGTTACAACTCAGTGGGCTCACATGATATTGACTTCTCCAAGACAGAGGTTCTCTGCAAGCCATCTGGCTATCATGAGAGATTCGTTCATGAGGCGATCCACATATACAAACACAGAGACAATTTCAACCGAGAAGATGGATTCTGGCTTAGCAATCATTGGAAGGACGTAATAAACCATTTCGGATCTTAACTGATTGTGTTCACGTTTACGGTGACTTTCAGACCGCGTTCCACTCACTGGCATGGTGCAGTGTGCAGAGTAATGTATGGTGTCGTAATTGTATAGTAAACATATAGCAGTGTGATACACATTAGGGTGGGTAGAATAATACATAGTGTTATATTAAAATGGATAAGGCATCAACTGCAGCAGCAGCAGCAAGTGCAGCAGCAGCAGTAACAGCAGCAGCAGCAACTGCAGCAGCAGCAGCAACTGCAGCAGCAGCAGAAACTGCAGCAGCAGCAACTGCAGCAGCAGCAGTAACTGCAGCTCCCTTTGATGCTGTTAATCCTGCATAATGCACATGCATATGCAGTACTAATCACATTCCTGCATTTCCCATAAATATGCTAAATTCCTTTTGATATGCAAATTCCTTTGTCAATGCGCCCAGCTTATATATATGCTCCAAGCTCGTGTGCTGTTTCATTCAGACTCTGTCGCCTCGACGGACCTGGTTTTCACCTGAGGACGGCTGCTTGCGTTGTGGCCGAAACGTCGTGAGAATTGTTTTATTATGTTTTATTTTTATTATTTTATTACTTCCCTTCTACGTGACTTTACCGAAAGAACCAAGAAGATGAATCCCTGCAGTCACGAAAGCTTTAAATCGAAATCCATGCCTTAGTTCATAGGGATGAACTTGTAAATGCACCACTAGATTACACATTTCTGCTAACATGCAATCCAATTCCACAGAACCATGCTTGTTAACAATCGGCTTGTATATGGTGAACATGTCCAGTCCTGCCCAGTCACACAGTTTTCAACAACTGGTACACTGTGTGTCTGAAGACTTCATGCCGAGACAATTTCACAGACTGAGACAATATACTAGCGCTGTATTGTCAGACAAATATGTCCCATATAACCTTTAATCAGTTGTTGGGGGAAATGCTGTTAGCAAGCACCTATGAAGGCCGTCACGGTACACGAGGAGGTGGGTGGCCAGCAACACGCCCGGCTGCCTTTGTCTCCCGAGTGGCGATGTTTACACCGCACCAGCATACTCATTTGAGGCCGAGTCGACCAAGGGGGAGGGCCAGAAAACTGGTTCAGATATTTCGTCACTGGTGGTGGCCGTAAGCGCGAATCGAACTCGGGTCGCCGGGTTTGTAGCGCAGCGTAGGCTAACCGCCACACTACATGGGCAGTGGCAAGGGGGAGCACACTAGGGGATGAATAACACTTCAGCCCTGACTCAAAATCACTTTGCACAGAGAAGTAGAAGCCCATTGGCTTAATTTTAACAGTAAAAACGTGAGTTGAAGCTTTCGTGACTGGAGGAATTGCTCTTTGGTTCTTTTGGTAAAGTCACGTAGAAAGAAAATAAATTAAATAATAGAATACGACGTTTCGATTGCAACACAAGTAATCGTCATCAGGTAGAAAACAAACTTAGTGAACTTAGAAATACAATGCAATCCAACACAGAGAGTCGGCTAACACAACAGTCAGCATCTTGCCTGGTTGATTACGAAAGAACCAGAGAGTAAAAACGTGTTTTATTGAGACTGCAATAAACGTTCTAGAAATACGTAGTACCAGGGGAGTCAGACCAGGTGACACGCCTTCCACCAGATTTATTCGTAGCAGCATGAGAGAGGATATTTTCTGACAATTGGATTGGAGACAAAGCCATAAATATTCGTGCAGAAAACAATGGCTAGATTGGATGTCATGTTGAGATCATGATTTTAACGTGTAGTGCTGTAAATGTTACCTCAGGATAAATGAGAGCCAAAAGCAAAGGTCGTGTACAACTAATTTGTATAAACAATCAGAGGCATCTGTCAGAAGGGGCAAAATTTGAAATCGCGGTATAATGTGTACCTCGGACAAATACTTAAGGCAGACCGGAATCATCGAAATTAAGAGGCAGACATGAGATAGGTTGGAGTTGTGTGTTTTTCGGAAAAGCTAAACGTGATAATGAAAAGGAATATTCCGATGTGCCTAAAGAAGCAAGTTTGTAATTGGTGTGTACTGCCTGCTAGGAAATGGGGACCGTAAACATGGTCATTCACAAACAAAATGGGACAAAAATGTAAAAGTGTGCAACAAGGCATGAAGAGATGCAAGCTTAGAGAAATAGGAGCATGTTGATTACAGAAGACGTACATTGCCGAGAAAAAGTTTGTGAACCCCTTAGGATTTTCACATATTTTACATATTTCAAACTTAAAATGTTATTAGATTTTAATCTAAGTCCTAATCTCCATATATATGCAACAAACTTGAAATTTGCCATGTGGGTACTTACCAGACTGTACACCATGCAAAAATTATTAAAATACACTTGTGTGTTTTTTTTGGGCAGGGAGCTCAATAATGTATATATTTTTTGCACGGCAAGTGAGCTGTGACGTCAAATCTGTCATGTGACCCGCGCATGTGAAAGCGTAACGCATTGTAGTGTCGTTGTTAGCACGCCGCGCTACGAACCCAGCGACCCGAGTTCCATTCCCGCTCACGCCCACCACCGGTGACGACTATTTGAATCGGTCCTGGGCCTCCCCTAGGTCGACTCAGCCTCAAACGAGTAACTGGTGTGGTGTGTGAACATCGTCACTGGGGAGACAAAGGCGGCCAGGTGTGGTGCATCCAAGTCCTGGGCAAAGCCGGGTAGTAAAGCTAGTAATATAATAAAGATAACCTGATTAAACAAATGACACAAAACATGATACTCATTCAACGTTTATTTAACCTCAAATGATTCTGCATTCAATAACGACGTGTGAAAAAGTATAGTATGTGAACCTTTAGATTCAATAACTGGTGACACCCCTTGGGCAGCAATGGCTGCAACTAAGCGTTTTTTGGAACCGTTGGTCAGTCTCTCACATCGGATTTGAGAAATTTTGGCCCATTCCTCCTTACAGAACTCCTTCAACTCGGTGACATTTGAGGGTTACCTTGCATGGACAGCTCCCTTCAGGTTCTGCCACGACAATTCGATGGGGTTTAGGTCCGGACTTTGACTAGGCCATTGTAAAATGCTAAATTTCTTCTTCTGCAGCTATTCTTTTGTAGATCTACTTTTATGTTTAGGATGATTGTCTTGCTGAAAGACCCACTTTTGGTTCAGCTTCAGCTCACAAAGGGGATGGCCTGACATTCTCCTCTAGAATCTTCTGATACAATGAAGAATTCATGGTTGTGTCAATGATGGCAAGCCATACAGGTCTTGAGGCAGCAAAGCAGCCCCAAACCATCACATTCCCACTACCATGCTTGACGGTTAGGATGAGGTTCTTCTGTTCTAAAACAGTGTTTGCTTTTCACCAAACAGAATGTTTCTCTAGGCCAAAACGTTCTACCTTTGACTCGTCTGTCCAGATAAATTGTTCCAGAAGTCTTATTGATCATCTTTGTGCTCTTTGGTGAACTTCAGATGGGCAGCAATGTTTATTTTGGAGAGTAGTGGTTTTCTCTTGGCTATCCATCCATGAACACAATTCTTCAGTTGAGTCATGAACATTCACATTAGCCGAGGCGAGAGTGGCCTGCAGATCATTGGATGTTTCTCTGGGGTTCTTTGTGATTCCTTGATGATTTTCCGATTTGTTCTTGGAGAGATTTTGGAACGAAGACTGCTCCAGGCTAGAGTGACTGTGATCTTGAACTTTCTCAATTTGTAGACAATCGGTCTGACAGTGGATTGGTCCAGCCCGAAATGCTTAGAAATAGTTTTGTAACCCTTTCTGGACTGATGAGCATCAATAACTCTTTTTTTCTGAAGTCCTTAGAGATTTATTTTGATCGTGGCATGGCTTGTTTCCACACACACCTGTATGGTGAAGACCAAACTCACAAAGTTCCTGATCTTTATATAGGGTTGTGCATCCCAAACTCACCCTTGAAGATCTACCTAATTATTTAAACACCTGATTTTAATTATCTTAATTGAGCAAATGAAACCAGGGGCTCACTTACTTTTTCACATACCCTGAACCTTAGTTACTCATTGTTTGTTGAATTCATCCATCATTTTGTTTCATAAGATATGGAATTGGTTAATATAAACTCCATTGGATATTTAAGAAAATACCTGTTTAGGTTCAAGAAGGCTATCATGGTAAAACAATGGAATTCCCATAATTATCATTGGGATTAACGAACGTTCTCAACATTGCATGTTAAATGACATAATTGCAACTCTTAACAAAGCGTTCTTGAGCAGGGCCCTTAGCTAGTAGGAAGAGACGAGATGGCTGATGTGGGGGCTATCCCTACCACACAGGTAGATGACTTTGAGGAGGAGGAGGAGGAAGAGGAGGATGAAGAGGAGGAGGAGGAGGAAGAGGAGGAGGGCTACTCAGAGCTGGAGGATGACGGTCAGCCCGTTGTGAACACGGTGGATCCGGAGTGGGCCGACGTGGCCCCTGCGAACGACGGCAGTGGTGGCGGCGGAGGTGGTGGCAGCTGGGACGCGCGGCCACCATCGCCCTTCTCCTCTCCCTCCTCCTCGTTGCTGCTGCACCGCTCGCGCAAGTCGGCAGAGGGAGGCGGCGCTCACCGGTTCCGAGACCGGCTCCCCCACCCACCACGGGGTGAGCGCCGTTCCCGCCTCTTCCGTCGCAACCTCTTGTAGCGCCGCGCTCCTTACAACGCCGGTTCCTCACGGCGCCCTTTGTCCTGGAGGAAAATCCCCACACGTTTTAAAATTCCTGCGCGGGATACCATGCGGCACACTAATCTCTGAGCCGCTCCCCCAACCCATGAGAGTGGCGTACACTCATCGGGGTTGTCGGTGGTAGCTAGGAGATGTTAATTGCCTTGCCTGGTGTGCAGGAGGTCGTGGGTTCGATCTCGAGCCTGACGTCTGCTGTATATTTGGAGTTTGCTTTTCTCTCTCTCTCTGCTTGCATAGATTTTTTTCCCGCGTCCTCCGGTTTATCCGGCCGCATTTAGAATCAACATCAGGCGTTTATAGTATTTGGTTGCTATACATTTCCACGTGATGATAAGCCACTTAGTTAAGCTATCACGTGTGACCCCGTCATTTCTGAAAAAAAATTACATAGCTCAGTGGGCCTTACCTGGAAAAAAAATTAGTTTATAATAAGTTTTACTCTTAGTTTTAGTTTTTTCGCTTGTAGTCTGTACGTATGTATGTGTGTTGAACTTATTTCAAGCCATAATAGCTCCAAGTCTTCCTCCTCAAAGTCACAATTCTGACTATCCACTGATGAGGCTGGTTATTATAAATTATAAATACTCGAATTGTAAATGTTGAGGGTTGTTTACTCTGAACTCGTAACTAATTGGCACGTTGTTTTACGTGACAAAACCTTACTAATTGGGCTGTGTCGCGTGGTGGCGGGATTAACGACACATTTATATTTACCCCATCTCGCCCAAAAAAAACCTCTCGTGGATAATATTGGTCGCGAAAGCCTACTACGTGTTAAACCACCATACGTAGTCAACCGTACTAATTGGAAGTGCGGGGGGAAGGGGACATCTCTGTTGCAAAGCCTCGTTACGCTCGACAGCCCCGTGTCCCGAGGCGAGGAGGTTAACTCATCCCGCCGCTCGTCCCCCGCAGGTCAGTTCCCGCAGGTGCGCTGGGAGGATCTCTCCGCCGATGGCCGCATGATCCTGCTCTGTCACCAGGAGACGATGCGCTTCCTGCGGAGGGAGGCGCGGCGGAACGAGCGCGAGCGCCAACGGAGCCAGCGCCGTCGTACACGCGTGGCTCAGCAGGTGAAGGAAGGTGGGGGAGGGCACCCCGGATGTGACTTTTTGTGCAATCGTGGGGTAGTGTGACTCGTCCAAAGTGACCGATGGTTGCCCGGCGATGTTTTGGGTGTGCGTGGGAGCCGCTCCTCTTGTACGTACGTACAGTCCGTTCTCCTATAATGCAGTATAGTTGCGTTCCTCAAGAACACCACGTTCTGTAAAAATCACGTTACAATAAATGATATATAATATAGAGGCTAAAGCAGACTGAACAAAGACTAAGGCGCGTGGGTAGCATCTAGAAGTATCCAGCAGCATCCTAACGCCTTGTGCGATGCCAAGCCGAGGCAGGACACGACCGCTTATTCCTACTCACGTGACGTAGTTTCATTCGATCGAGTTGTACATCCAATAAGCATATGCATTACGCAAAAAACGTGTTCCCTAATACATTCCATCGCGTTATATCCAATCCACGATATGAAAACTTAAGCCGCTACAGGAGAATTAACTGTTTCGCTAAACCCCTGTCGCCACCGTTGCCGCAGGTGGTGGACGCGTTTGCCAACGCCCTCTCCTCGCTCGCCTCATCGCTGCTGGACCCAGCCAAGAGGGACCCGGACTCCGTGGAGTCGCGCGCTCCGCCTGACCGGCCCTCCAATGGCATCGTCCGGTAGCCGTCATCAGGGCCCAAGCCTCAGTCCTCCCTGCCAAGTGAATTATTGCCAGGGCCGGATTGCGAGCCGGATGATTGCGAGTAGTCCCCTCGGATTCGCTTCGACTCGTCGTGGACTGCTGCAGGGCCAAGCTAGGGCAAGGCTTTGCGTGCAGTCCATGTGCCTGGGACACGCCTGACGATCCCTGTGACTCGGACGCGCCTGACGCTCCCGTCCCGTGGGATGTTACCCAATTTGGCGATTCCACCTACGTTTCGGCACACACCCTTGTTGGAGTGGTCATGGTGCCCCCCCTACTTTCAGGTGCGTGAGCGCTATCTGGATGTGCTTCTGCGGCCGTCTGGAACGCCTCTTCCTTCCGACATGAGGAAGCCACTGGAGCTATGCACTTTTAAATCATCTAGATTGATAAACTAATTTCTTTTAGAACTAGATTTTTGTGTTTAGTATGTTGTCCTTTCCCCCGCACCTACGTTTGGCTACGTACGGTGCAAAATAACTTGAACATACAACGTACATACAACATACATACATACATGCGAGCCACCGTTTAAACTCACGTCACGTCGGCACACGCCACGGTTACACGCGTGTTTTCCCTTCACATGAGTCAGCTGCTGCAGAGACACGGGGAGGAGCACGGCAAAAATACTCGGCGCTCGCAGGTCACCAGCCATGCAGGAGATGGCTTGTCAGACCCCAGCAGAATCGCATCGATCATTTACTTCTACATATCAGCATAAACCATTTCCCATCCCGATGACGTACGCATACATAAGTGTACATTTTCGGAACGGGACCGAGAGAAAAACTAAAATAAAGTAACTTTATCGACAGCGAGGCTCCCACAAGGCCACGGTGGGAGGGGTGCGTGGCACAGTTTGGCCGTCGTATCGCTATGGTTCTCTGCGGTGAGTAACAACGTCTTTACAAATCAACGGTGTTACTACAACTCTCTAAATAAAATTAACGCTGAATCACTCGCGCGTTCCGACATTCAGCGGTGAACGGAACCCCACCTACCCTGCAAGCTTGCAGTGCATCTCGGAACAGGAAAGGGTTAAGAGAGAATCTTTGCTCTGTTCGGAACTGAATTGTTCCAGTATTACTTTTTTATATTGTAAATGACAAGACGTTATTACAGATAAAGTATTTGTATATCTGTAGAGTAGGTTGACTTGGTGATAAAGGGTGTGATGGCAAGGCCAACATTAATCGTTCGCAGCCAGCATAGAAAGAAATGAAGGACAAAGCACATACATTACATTTCAGGCATGGATTCCTTGTAATTTTAAGGTCTTTGATTTTTTTTAATTTATTATTTATTTCGTAATACTTTTTTTGCTATTTTCCTGCCTTTGTTATTTTTTCAGAATCATATTCTCTCTTTTTGTACTTACATTTTTCACGAGTTATATTTATGAGTTTTCATTCGAGAGAGACATGTGATGTAGAAATATTTGATGAGATATCGTTTTCTCCACGTTTTTTGGTCGAGCCATTTTTAAACACCTACATGCCCATTTAAAACGTGTCTGAAAATGTAAAGATTAAAAGCGTGAAGATTCGGTAACACCCCGATTTACGTCTGCCGCCTTGTTATGTTGGTTTAGCAAATTGGCTTTGCTGGTTAAACAAGCAGAGTAAGAGGCGCGCCTCGCACGACACGCAACACGCGTTGCTGAAAGACGCCACCTAAGACGAATCGCGCTGTACGAAGCCTAATCCTCATAGACATTGTACATGTTATGGGGGTGTGCCTTACTGAAGAAAAATTTAGGATAATTTCATTATTTTAGGCCTGGATACATACAAAATACGTATAAATGTAATACTGAATAATAACTTTATCACCACCGCTACCCGATGAACGTCACCTCAACCCCCAAACATTTAACGTCGCTGACGGCATCGTCCGTCCCGTATCCATCGCCTCTCGGCCTTTGCCACCACCACCCACTACGACTACTACCCCTGTTAATCACTTTGATTTATGCCGTTTAGATATTAGTCGTCGCGCCTTTCAGGAACGCATCCTCTCCCGACGTGAACCAGAGGGGTATCGCTGTATTTGTTCTTGTTCTGCCTGGTGGATAACGTACGGTTTCATTGCAGCTCATTCCCATGTCCTGGGACCTGTCAATTATGGCCGCACCATGCCGTGGTTCCCCATCGTTAGCCAAGCCCTTGAATGAATCCACCGCACGGAAGTTGCGAATTCAGCTGGCAATGTCGTGGTCACGCTACCTGCACTCGCGTTCATTGCGAGCTTCGTGGCTCACTAGAACCATCGTGCTCCGCCAGCCTTCCGCTAAAATGCCTCCTCGTGAAAAACAACAACCCGCCACCGCCTTCGGTGATGCTCCTGTGAACCGTTCCTTCCACGTGCCCCTACATTTCTTTCGTGTGCGCGGCCATTCGTGCGTTTACAATTGTTTTACATTTTTCGTTGAAAGTGTCTTAATTTTTTTAAGAGCTGCACTCGCGAATAGATTTGCCGTTTTTGAACTCGCCCGTGCCATATGTTTGGCGGCGGCAGAGTTTACGGTCGAAGGTGCCACGCAAACGGGGAATGCGCTTCTTCGCAGCTATTGCTGCAGGCCATCCGCAAGCGAAAGCCATTCACACCGAAGTCCTTTGGCTCGGCTCCAGCCAAGGGAATGGAGCTTTCTCAACGTCCGCTGAAACGTCATGCACATTGCAGTCGCTAATTCCATTGCTAATTCCATCCTGTGTTCCCTCTCACCAACGCACAAAGTGTCGTGCTTTGCATTGACCGCAGCTTTCAAAATTTGGCCTCGATCTTCGGGATGAGGTCCATGGTGCTCTAATTTCCATTTTCTAGATGTCCCCTCCCGCCACCCCTTCCTCCATTATCCCGGTTTCTTGATTGCCCGAAGGCCAAATTCTGTGTTCTCGTCCGTAACAACTCTGCCAATATTGGACCACAACAAGCGTGCATGTGTTAGCGAGCTGTCGATTAACCGTTAAATCGCTTACAAAATGAGCCGTGGGTTGCAGCAGCTTTGGTATTTGAGCAGTTTCAAAATGTTAAGTACACACATCTACAGTTTTGGTTAAAATTGCAGATGAAGATTTCGTTAAGGTTCCCAGCTAAATACAATGCCACAGCAGTAGTTGCTGTAAATCCATGTATTGTAATATGCACGTTAGTGTAACATACATGCACGTATGTGTGTGTCCATATACATTTACACAGAAGAATTTATATAACCGAATTATCTCTTTACGTACACACACATGCATCATCCTATGTGCCTAAATGTCGAATATTTCGTCTGCCCCTATTTACAACGCATAGTTTATACACAGACTTTGCACCATAGCGCATAGTAATGCATAATGCATATAGTATTTATGTCAATAGTTTTCTATGTATTTGCCTGTTAATAAGTTAAGTTTTGCTGTCATGTCTCTTTAAAGCATTGTTACTGCTTACATTTGTATTTTCTAATGGACATTAGCATACAGAATGTTCAAATATACTATTCTGAGGCAGTATTGCTGTTGACGTTGGCTTCAAGCCTTTTAAAATGCTGTGTTGATGTAACACATCGGTTAAGACAATAACGCTCGCTAGGTCAATGTGGAATATGTGAAACCAAACTGATGATTTTGGTGCGATAGGAATATATGAAGCCAGCATGATGGTGCAATGCTAGCGCTCGTGCCTCACAACAATGAGCAACTGGGTTTGATTCCCAACAGGGGCACTTTTCCACGTGGAGTTAAAACTAAAACAATTTTTTTTTAATTCACCAGGTACGAGCCCACTGAGCTGTATATCTCTTTTTCAGAAGCGACCTGGCTATCACAAATGATAGCTTAACGAAGTGGCTTATTATCATCATGTGGAAATGTATAGCAGCCAAATCCTTAAAACTCTTGTTTCTAAATGTGGAGGGAAAAACCGGAGGACCCGGACAAAATTCCACATGACCACAAGGAGAGAGACATATATACTCTAGATATACAGCAGGTGTCAGCTTCAGGATCAAACCCACGACCTGTCTACCAGGCGAGGTAGTTAACATCTAGCCACCATGGCGCCATTTTACTCTCCCTCTGTCCTGCATTGATTTCCTCCGGTCTTGAGGATCCACAGTGTCCTCCCAGAGCTGAAACCAAAATAAAATAAACTATTGAATCTATCCGGTATTGGCCAAACATCCCCAATCCTGAATAATTACTTGCAAGTATGACTCGATGGGGATTACATGCAGCAGCAACATTGCCCCGTTACTGTGGTAACTTGGCCAGGAACATCTTGAAAAAGAGCCTTGAGACTCGGTGAGACATTCCTAGGTAAACAAGCATAGTAACAACAATAATACTATAGTTTTTCCAGTTGAATTTTTTTTTGTCCACGACGACTGGGGGACCCAGGCTGTGCCAGGCCAGGGAGCGACGTTGAGGCCATGTGGTCTCCATCCCCTGCATCCTGCAGTCACAGGAGTGGGTGGTGCGATGTGACCTAAACCCCTTTTCCCATTCTGATGATGACTTAGGTGTACGTCATCGGTTTTCTACTAAAAATAAAGCGACTTTATCATTACCGAGGCTCTCAGAAGGCCACACAGGAGCGGGGCGTGTTGCACAGTTTTAGCGCCAGCTATTATAGAGAGGGGGCGGTCGTGTCGCTACAGTTCTCTGCGGTGAGTAACGTCTTAAAAAACTACGGGCACTACTACGCTTCTCTAAATAAAATGTACGCTGAACACGCTTCACACGTTCCTAGATTTGGCTGCGAGTGTGAACCTATTCTTAACTAACGAGCGTGTGCTTTAGAAGATGTTGATTTGGTCGTGGGTTATGTTAAGAAAATTGACGTCTTGGTATTTTCCCCGCACAGCAACTTGGGTGTTTTTAACACTTAGCCCTGACCGGCCGGGAAGCTAAGTAATGCACGTGAACGTGGCAGCGCTGTGCGCCCCTTTCTGGCTTGCCCCCGTGACGTCGCGGACCGGTAGCCACTCTTCCCCAGTGCCACGCGTGTACGGTTCAGCTTGGAGCGGAGAGCACGCTGGGGCGGGTGGTCCCCGGCTTTTGGGGTAAGCGGGAGACGTGCTGCCCGGCTAGCGCCGTGGGAATGGATGGCATTGTACGTATGTTGACCTGCTTACCAGGCGAGGTAGTTAACATCACACCAACACGGTACCCCAATTCAAGATGGTGCCCAGGGATGCACACCCAGGCTCTCTCGTTCCTCCTCAACCCACCGAGAGAACAGTCGTGACTTTGAGGTCCAATTTAATATTGGAACAATCTTGATATGTTATGTATGTTACTGTATGTTGAATGTATGTCTTTTGCCGCATGCGAAGCCGACCGTGCTAATCGCAGTATGCGTTCACCCCGTCCGTGATGCCCACACTACACCAGCACCATCTCGAAGCTCGTGGAAACTGAGCACGAGCCGGTTTATGGGGGCGGTGGGGTGGTGACACTCGCGCTGCCTCCTGGCAACGGTTCCTCCGGGCTGTCCTTCCTCCCATCGCTATAAACAAACAACACACACACGATATATATAACTGCTTGCCAAACCACGCCCAAATGCTAAAAAATGTTGCTGCAAATTAGTCAAATTTGCAGATTACGCACAGCAACAGCAGCGTCGCCCCCATACTGTGAACACTTTGGCAAGACCCTCAAGGAAAGAGCCTTGAGACTCGGTGAGGCTCTCCTGGTCAACAGAACAGAACACAGGTGCGCCTCGCATCGCGCGCGATGGAGTCGAATCGCGCTCAACAGCCTATTGTCCCGTTGACATGGTCCACGTGTGTGTGCGTTACCGAAGAAAAATTCAGTCTTCTATTTAATTATTTAGCCTTGGATATATACATTAATACGTATACATGTACTTAATAATAATAAATAATTCAGATGAAAACGAATACTACTTAGAAATTTTACCTAATAAAAGAGTAATTTCAGGACATCAAGGATTCTGTTGGCTGCTTGCAGCAGCGTGCACGTGATGCGGACAACCGGCGGCAGATCTACGACGGCTCGGCCTCGCCCGTGACACTGAGAGATGCGTAGCCCGAGTGCCAAGTACACCCCGACAACATGAATCGCGTTTCTGCGAATTCGCACTCTGGGGAGGCGCGCTGTCGTGCACAGTAGACCCTCGTTTCTCGCCATGAGGGATACGTTCTCGAGATGCTCGTGAACAGCAAATTCTCTCATCACTTTATCGCTCATCACTTTATCTCTCATCACTTTCTCTTAGTGCAGTCGTGTAGAGTCCCAGATGTGAATCGGGGATAGACAAGTTCGTGAATAACGAGGGAATACCATACCAGTATTTAACCGTTCTGTCCGTGTACCATGTATGTACGCGCACGATGAAACGCATATTTTTGTTTACACATTTCTTACGTAAAAATATATATATACGTGAGCAATCGTGAGGCAAGACTGAATTCAAAGCACAGCGGATCAGTATTAAAGTTTGGGGTTGAACTTGGCGTTTTTCTGTCGGTAGTTTGTACACAGCAGCAGGTGTAGCATGCACAATGTGTTGTCAATGGTCATATGTAAATCGCATATTTTAGGGTGCTCAATTAAAGCCACATTTTATAACTTCCTGCGAACTTTTATTACCCGCGTTTGTTATGGTGGTCAAATGGGTTGGCCACAGAATCGTCCTGAATAACTGAAGCATTAATTTAAAACCACTTTTGTGCTCCGTTCGTATACAGACATTGGAACTGGTGTGTTGTTCATTATGAAGAGGAAAGTAAGTTTAATACAGCATCTCTTTCTCTTGTTTTCAACCGTGTGTTGACTTATTTATTTAAAAAAGATGACAACAGAATGAAGATCCGGAACTGCCTTTTCAAATCCGCGGTAATCCAAGTCGGCCTGCATCTATTTTTCATTCCCGTCTTGCTTGTTTCATTGACCGTACACTATTGTCCATCTGCAATGAATCCAGTTTGCCACGTAAATCTAGCTGTCTGGTAGCAACTAATTAAGTGTGAACACCATTGCCAACAATAAATGTGTGCGCCATACTTAGCTTTAAGTGGTGGCGAGATGTTAACTATCTCGCCTGGTATGCAGGAGGTCGGGGTCCGATACTGACCCTGAGGCCTGTTTAGAGTTTGCATGTTCTCCCCGTGGTCGTGTTGATTTTTTTTTCCAGGTCCTCCTGTTTTTACTTCATTTAGAATCAACATGCGTTTAGAGTATTTGGCTGCCATAAATGTCCACGTGATAAGAAACTTTGTTGAGCTATAATTTGTGGCCAGGTCGCTTCTAAAAAAGAGCTACACAGCTCAGTGGGCCTTACCTGGTGAAATAAGAAAAAGTTTGTAGTTTAATTTTAAGTCACAGACTTGTAAGGTGGGAATACTGTCTCGTGTGGCTGTGCTTGTGGAGTGACTCAACTCTGAGACAGTAATAACTGGAGGAACTTTTTATTTAACAAGCACCATCGGGATAACACACACCCTACATGGGTGCACACTATTATTATTAAGACCTTCTATTGTCGGTGGCACTACTTAGTTCGAACAGTTGGTAGGCTGTCTAACAGTGCCCCGGGATGGTGAAGACGGAGACGACGACGAGGAGATGGTGACGACAATGAACTCAAGCAGCACAACGGGGATCCCACTTCCAGTAACAACCACGAGGTCCCGCACAGGGGCCCCTCTTATACTCCCAGCGTGGCCTTGCTCCGCCCCGGCCACGCCTCCTTTCTGGAACATACTAGCGGGTTCCCGGGGCTTCTCGATGGGCCCCTTCTGTGACCTTTCCCCTAGATGACTGCAGGAATTCATATTATTTGGTTCTTTTGGTAAAGTCACGTAGAAAAAAATTATAATAAAGCGAATAAAAATAATAAAAATTATATAAATAAAAACCACCACGTGATCGAAACTTTTTTTTTTATGTATTCACTATATTTATATTTGTCTATCTACGTGACTTTACTGAAAGAACAAATAATATTTCAAAAAATGTTAGCAAAATTTTAGGAAATCCGAGGTGCATTCGTTTTTTGGGCACCACCCGAGTGACTTTGCTTCGCAGAGCAGTGGGGACCACAATACAATAGCGCTGCAGCTCTCATCCCACCTCACTAAAAGGCCTTCGTGAAGGACTATAAGGGACACCCCCACCGGGACAGTCTTACTGCCTCTAGTCCCAACGCGGTGCCGCAAATTTAATAGTGAGACGTCCTCTATCTGCAGCCGTCTCCACTCAGCGTGTGTGAGGCCCAACGTACCGTCTCTAGGTGCAGCGACCTCGGCTGGTGCTGCGTCGCCTATCGCCGCAACCACCTGTGGTGATCCAGCCGCAGATGGCTTACACCTGCCAGCACCCATTGAACACGCACACTGCTCGCTCGGTGGCAGGCGAGACAGCGCATCTGCATTGCAGTGCCTCAAGCCCTTCCTATAGGTTACTGTAAACTGTAAAGGAATACTCCTGCAGTATTTCCAGCCAGCGAGAAAGCTGGCCGGATGGCTGGTCAACACGCAAGGAGTGTTTGAGGGCCGCGTGGTCTGTGCGCACAACAAAGTCCCTCCCGACACGTCGTGATTTAATTTATTTTATTTTTTACCTACGTGACTTTACCGAAAGATCCAAAGAGTATGGATCCCTGCAGTCACGAAAACTTTTAATCTAGATTAAACCGCCTCTACGGGGGGAGGGTTTTCACACAAACGTTAGAGCTTTTAAAAGACTCGAGACAAGAAGGCTCAACTAATCGAGTCGCTCACCTTCCTCAAGAGATGCCGCGATAACAAGGTAATACCGATCACATTTACACTCACATCTGCTGCTGTCACTTCTAACGCTAAACGGATCTTGTTTAAAGCCAGCCTATCACTAATCTCAGAGAGAATAAGATTGCTCCGATTTGAACTTGATCATTTGAACAAGACTCTTACAATCACACTTGAAATTAACAGATAAAATGTCCACTTCTGATTGGAACCATGTAGATAACATGACAGTCTTCTCTGCTAATTCAATGTCAACCAAATGTTGACATTGATAAGTTAACTTGATCGCAAAATCAACCTGTCAAAAAAGAAGCCAGGTACACACGTTAAAAATTTAGATGTTAACAAGATTGTCATCAATCAGAGTAACATTCCAATTTCCGACAGCCTAAAATCGGTACTAGCTAAAGGGTTGAATTTCGCAGTCACCCCTAAACATCCCAGTGGATATAATATCCCAGGTCGACGTAGCCCTCAAAGGCTTGGGACACATCCCGACAGACGTTGCTAGATCTGAAATTGCCACCACCCTTAAAAATGCTAAGAAACCCATTAGTAACATCAGCAAAGACGAGTGCTCTGAACTCGCAAATTTGAAAAAGAGAGATGACAGTCATCCTCTCGGCCGACAAGGACAATGCTACTGTCATCATGGATAAAACCACATAATAAAGGACTCCTTCACACACGATGTCACTCTCCGTTGATCCTTTATGTAGGTTCTTCTCCTCCGCACCCCGCTGGCCTCCTCCTCGGACCAGCGTCGTCTCTCACGCGCCCCACATGCTCCGCTAGCCGCTCCGCTAGCCACTCCGCTAGCCCCGTGCACTCCGCACGCTCCGCTAGCCACTCCGCTAGCCCCGTGCGCCTGGCTGACGGTGTCCCAAGCCCCATCAGCCACGTGGCTGATGGCGCGGCGGCCACCCAACGTGGTCCCGCCTCTTCACTCCATCGACTGGCCCTGATCTCTTCCGGGCTCCCTCCTATAACCTCTCTCCCATGTGACCCTGACTCCTCCCTCTCGGATCATCACATCCGGCCTTCCCATTTACGCTCGCATTACACATACAACAACAAAATCCAGGACGTTCTTAATGATGGCAGTCACACCAAAATCAACAAAGAGCCTGCTAACAGCCTGGCTACAAAAACCAACAATATCGTTACCAGTTAGACTTCTCTAATCGAACCAGTCAAATGGCTCTCCCTAAAACCTGCTGCTAGACCACCCAGATTCTATGGTTTTTTTAAGATCCATAAATAGGGCACTCCACTTTGGCCCAGCGTTTCCACTATCAACTCACCTCCCTCCAAACTGGCCCGTTTTCTGTCTGATACCTTGCTTCCATTCACTGGCAAGACTACCTCGGCAGTACATAACTCAGCTCACTTGGTCTCTCTAATCAAGGGCATTTCACTGTCCCCAGATTATTTTCTCGTCAGCTTCGATGTAGTTTCTCTGTTCACCAAAGTTCCTGTGCCTCACACCTTAAAAATAATTGAAGATTTAGTCCAACATTAACGGAATCCTGATGTTCCTACTCTGGTTAGGCACTGCCTTACTAACACTTACTTCACCTGGAATGGTACTTTCTACAAGCAAAATGAAGGTACCCCCATGGGTTCCCCCTTATTACCAGTGATAACGAATGTTTTCATGGAAAATTTTGAAACAGATGCCATCCAGACATCCACCCGACGTCGTTCCTTGTGGAAGATATATGTAGATGACACTTTTGTCATTTGGCCACATGGCCTGCCAGCATTGAACCAATTTCTCAACCACATTAATTCCATACACCCATCCATCAAATTGACCATGGAAGTGGAGAAGGATGGTAAGCTACCATTCCTGGATGTTATGTTTGAGAAGATACCTGATGGCTCGTCTACAGCAAAGCCACCTACACAGATTCCGATCTGAAACCTGATTCCCACCACCATCTGGCACAGAATAATTCCCTCATCAAAACACTACACCATAGGGCCCACTGCATTTCTGACCAACACCACCTAGCCAGTGAACTGGAACACGTACACCAGGCCCTCAAGATGAATGGGTACTCGGACCGCATTATTGGCAAAGCTGTTTCTCTAACCATGGAGAAACAACACCCTGAGACGTCAATCAAAACCATCACGTTACCATACATAGGCGTTACCAAAAATATTTCCAAAATCTTAAACAAACACAAGCTCCAGGTCCGATTCAGTACAGTACACAAAATCTGTGATCTAATCCCATCTGTGAAGGATGTCATTCCTGACATGCAATATCCTGGAGTCTACAAACTAAGTTGCACCTGTGGTAGGTGTTACATTGGGGAAACGAAACGACATATCTCGAACCGTGTTCGCGAGCACAAGTCAGATCTGAAACACGGCAGAACCAATACCTCCGACGTGGCTGGACCATTGCTATAACGCCGTGGGCTCTCATGATGTTGTTTCCGAGACCAAGGTACTCTGCAAACCTTCGGGCTACTATCAAAGGTTTGTTCATGAAGCCATCCAGATATATAAACAGACATAACTTCAACCGAGAAGATGGATACAAATTGAGCAATCATTGGAAGGATGTTATTAACCAGGTTAAACCTTACTGCTTTATGGTGTTGCCTTCATATCCACATCTCCAGTTTCTTTAGCCTCCCACTCCCAGCCCCGCTCACTTTTGCCTTGCTCGTTTCCCAATCCCTCTAGCAGCGCTCCACCCCCCCTCTCTATCTCTCCTCCCTGGCTCCTCCCCCCCTCTCACTTTTGCCTTGCTCTTTTCCTAATCCCTCTCGTAGCGCCCCACTCCCCCTACCCCACACCCCCCTCTCTAGCTCTCCTCCCTGGCTCCTCCCCCTCTCACTTTTGCCTTGCTCGTTTCCTAATCCCTCTAGCAGCGCTCCACACCCCCCTCTCTGTCTCTCCTCCGCTCCTCGCCCCCTCTCTTGCCTATATAGCCTCTTGTTACAGCAGCCCTTTTGCCCACTTCAGCAATTGTTTATTGCTGTGGTTGTCCCACCTGATGACGGACGCTTGTGTTGCGCCCGAAACGTCGTGATTTAATTTATTTTATACCTACGTGACTTTACCGAAAGAACCAAAGAGTATGGATCCCTGCAGTCAAGAAAACTTCTAATCTAGATCTTAACACCTGTTTTGTTGCCAGAAAAAAGGGGAAACACCTATTATCATGAAAGCATCTGTTTCCACAGATGGCGAGATGGCTTGAAGAAGGGGACAGGAACCAGGCCTTCATGTGACTTAACAGATTAATTCAATAAAATTAGAACAGACACACACATGTACACCGCACAAACAGCTGTTTCCACAGGCTGAGAGTGAAACCAAAGGAATTCCGGTCCTTTGTGAGAAGGCGAGCCGAGGTGGGAGAATTTCAGATATAAGTGTAATAATAGAGCGCCATCTACTGAATTATTGTGGGGGTTACATTACTTTTGCAGTCCACGGTTTATCCATAGTAGCCATTATATCTGGGGTAAAGGTGATTGGGCAGATCTACAGTAGCAGGGAAGCCTCTGGAACGTTCCCGAAGGTTCCAGGAGGGGCGTGGCCAGAGGCGGGGCTTAGTCTCCAGGGAGGGAATATAAGCCGGCGGTACAGCAACGTTCGGGGTCGGTGTTGTAAGATCAAGAGGAGCTCCCCGTAACTGCTGCCCCGCCATCTCCACCTGCCACGTAGCGGCTCGGCACGCCGCCAGCCAGCGGTGTATTAGCAAGTGGGGTGAGCGCCACGTGGCGCGAGGCAGCGCAGCCACGAGAGCGGGTCGACATCCGCTGAGAGAGAGAGGTGGCTGTACCAAAGATTTAGAAATAAAACACTTGAAGTTACTTACCGTGTCGGAGCCACTCAT